GAATTAATAAAATAAAGAAAAATGGAAAAGTTATTAATGGAGAATGGATTGAAGTTAGTAGTAGAAATGAAACAAAAAAAAACAAAAGTAATGAAGGTTCATCATTTTGTGTTGTGATGTAATTGAAGAAATGATAATAATTCAATAAATGGTTATTTGAAATAAACTTGTTAGAACTAATAGAAAAATTAAATAATTTAAGTTTCATCAATGTTTAATTAAAAAGAAAAAAATGAAGAAATAAAATAAAGAATGGAGTGAAATAACCAAATAAAATATAAACAAAGATAAATGAAATGAAATAAACTAATTTAATAATCAAATGAAATAAACAATAGTGAAATAAATATAATTTAATATTTTATTTTATAATAATGATATTTTATGAAGAATATCAAAACACACAATTAAAATATTCATTAATCATACAATTAACATAAATAAATGCATAAACAATAAAAAATAACAAATAAATAACAAATGAAATAAAATCAATAATTAACAATTATTTGATTTAAATTTCTATTATAATTCTTATAATATATTAATATGAAATAAATTAACAATTATACCGTTTTTTAATGATGTAAATAAACATATTTCATAATATTCTTTGTTGATAAACTTTATACACTAGAAAGAAGAAAAATCATACGTAAATAACAATCAGAATAAATATAAAGTAACATTAAAGATATATCTTCTTTTATTCAAACAATATGAATCAATATAAAAATAAAATGTTATCAAGAGATCTTTAAAACATATAATGAAAATACAAATTAAAGTATAAGACATACAAATAATATGAATATATTAAATAGAAAATATAATAAGTATTATTTGTTATGATAAAAACATTTATATAATAAATAAAAAAAATAGATATTGTTTGAATATAAATATTATTTTAATATTAAAATAACATTTCAAATCATCTAAATATCATTCTAAATAATAACACTATCTTTAATTTAATTTTAAACGTAAAATAAATTGTTTTAATTGTTTTTCAATCAAAATAAGTATTTATTTGAGATAATAATTACAAACGAACTATAATAATAACAAACAAGAATAAATAAGAATATAATACTTATAATAATATTAATAAGAAATAAGAAAAAATGAATAAATAAACAATTTATTTGTATCATTTCATTGAATTAATTCATTATAAATAAATTGAATAGGATAATATAAATCAGAATAAGAATCAAACAATTAAAGAAATGATAAAATACATCATCATATTTATGTTATTTCTTATTCTTTATTTCTTAAGATCATTTTCCATTGCAATAAATACAACAAATTTTAATGTCATGATTATTGTGTAATATCAATGTGTATTGTAAAGAAAAACAAACAAGATATAAATATTCAACATCATACAATAAAAAAGAAGTGTCAATAGCAATAAATAGCATAACAATAAAAATGATAATGTTAAATGAAATAACAATGAAAAAAGGATTAAAAGAAGAAAGACACAAAGAAAAACAAATAAGAAACAAGATAAATACAATAATAATAATTATTATTATACAAATAACACTAAATAAATAACAATAAATGATATACAAGAAATAATAAAAAGAATAACAAGGGAATCGAATGAAGGAAAATATGAAGAAATACCCAAGAAGTAATAAAATAAAAGAAAAAGATGATATGATAATCAACAAGAAGGATATTCAATCAAAAAGAAGAAAATAAATGAAAAAACTAAAGAAGAAAGGATTTCTCTCAACACTTAATTTATTGCTTAATTATATGAAATAAAAATAAGGTTTTTCTTTTCAATTTTTAATTCAATTACCATTTCTTATAGCTGAAAAGTGGAACAAGACCTTGATATTGTAAAACGGTCATAATGTATACACCTGCATGTTCATATACATCAGGCATTGATGCCATAACAGGATCTCCACTTATTCCATCAACAGCTTCACCACAAGGAATAAAATCAGGTCCAGTATGATCAATCATCCATTGGAGTCTATTAGCTGTTAAAGACTTATGTCCATCAATCTCATCAGCTAACATTTCAGCCCAACTCATAAACATAGTAGTTATACCCCATGGTGGACTAGCCTCTCCAGCTTCTTTACCAGCTGGATTAAATTTAGACATAAAGAAATAAGGGTCATTATAATAACGTGCAATACCATATGATAATTTAGTTAAATCACTTCTAATCTTATTTAAGTGTTTTTTAATTCGTTCTTGATTAACTACAATACCACTGAATAACATAGTTGCAGTAGACCCATCAATTACTACTTTTTGTTCTTTACTATCAGACCAAATTGCTTGTACATAATATTGACCTTCTTCATTCCAGAAATATTGATCAAATGAATTGCTAATTTCTTCTGCTCTATTTCTTAAATCATCTGCTCTATTAAGGTCTTTATAAATAAGTTCTTCAATCATAGCAGCACATAATAATCCATGATGTCCTTGAATTTGAGTAAATGCATAATATTGTGTAGGTAATGAATTTCCAGTCCAACCGTCACTACTTTCTTCCCAAATAGAATAATCAGGTTTAATTAAATTATGATAATCCCTTTGCATTAAGAAATCTTCAAGAGTTCTAATTCTTGCTTTAACTGAGTCACTAAGTAAAAGATCAGTTTTTTTTGTTTGAGTATAATAATAGTAATAAGCTGTCAAAGCAACTCCAACTGAATCATATTGTGGTTCAACAAAATCACTTATTTTGCCAGTGTACCAATCATAACAAGTTGGGAAAAATCCTCCATCTCTTAATTCAGAAGTAGATAACCATTTAAGGAATTTTTCTGCTCCTTCAGTTTCTCCAAGAGCCAACATAATAATTGAAGCAAAAGTAGCATCTCTAGACCAAACTTTATAATAATATAATGGATGATATGATGCAACAAGGGTACCAAGAGTTGGGTTTTGAGAATAAAGAAGAGTAAATACACTTGAATACCACATCTTTTTTTCAGCCTCATTTTTGAAGGATGGTAATTTATAATGAGAGAATTTCTCATCAGAATATGATTTTAATTCTTGATAATATGATTCCCATGATTTATTAATAATTTCTTTTGATATTTCTTCTGCTTCAGAAATACTATTAGCGAGAGCCCTATATGCAAGAATTGAAACAGTACTACCTGCATTAATAATAACCTCTTTTTGAAGAGCACCAATCATTGATTTAGATGTTTTTGAAGAGACACCATCAAGTCTTCCATTGCTGTTGAAATAGTCTACTGGAGTATATCCTGTAGAATCACCAAAAGAAATTGTATCTGTACCTACAAGTCCAAAAACGACTATAGTATTTTGATAATTAGTATAATCATTTTTATAGTCAAAGTATAATGCTTTGGTTGAATCAATTGATCCTCCAATAACATTATTTTCAACACTTGAAGAATTAACATAATCAAATAAGTTAAATTTTAGTGGAGAATTACCAGTATTAGTTATATCATATTTTTCAAGAACTATGTGTTTATTTGGAACTACCATATATCTTTTAGTAATAGATGCATCTATTTGAAGAGAATTTAAAGCATAGTATTTAATATTAAATAAATATTCTCCTGGATACTCAATACTATTTGATCCAACAAATTGGAATGGATTTGAAAATTTCTTTCCATTAACTTGAAATGCAAATCCATCGCCTTGAATAAGGTTTTGAGTATAACCATTTCCATTCCATCTTAATTGACAAAGACCAGATGGTCTACTTCCTTTAAAATTAGCGCTATCAACATTTGCACACCACGTTGTAATCATATCTTTAAAATTAGTTAATCCATATGATGGATTAGGTCTCCATGCAAAAGCAAGGGCAATAAGAAGAAATATAAGCATCTGAATTTATAAGTTGATTTTTATGTTTAAATAAGCACAAAAAAAAACAAGTTGTTCCAATTATTTTCTTTAATGAAGAGTCAAGTATAATTGAAATATTATTCTAATATTAAATATGTTTAATTTATATACTTTTATGAAGAGTTTTCTATAAAATTCTAATATATTCTATCTCTGAACAAATATTGAATTTTCTTGAAAATTTTATACTTTCAATGTTAATTCTTGTAATGAATCTTGTTTTTAGAATTGATATTCATATGATGATATATAACACACTAAAGTTGTTATTCTTTTTTCTTATAAACAAATTATAATTTCAATTTATTCCATGATATTATTTGACATATTGGTATTAGTAATATAAATATTCTTTCATCTAAATACGCCTTCTTCAAGTAAAATTATTTACTAGTTATAACCAATTGACGTCAATGAAATGAAGAATAAAAATACAATTATTTCAAATAAAAATTCACACAAAAATATTAATATTCTATAATACTTTGTTATTATATAAAATAGTAAATTTGTAAAATATATTTTATAAAGAACAATTATTTTTTATTAATGATTTTAATGATTTTATTAATTCTTACTTATTTCTAAAATACAAATTTAACTGGAATATAGTTGAAGAAAATATAAAAGAAGAATAAAAATCTTCACAATAATTAAAAATAAATTTTTTAAATAAGTATGAAGAAATTTATTTTTTCAAAGCACAATTAAATTACAAAAATTACTATTGAGTGAGTTATTAATTACTCTTTAGTGTTTTAATGGTGATAAACGAAATAAAGTGTAGAAATTACAAACTATACAAATTAATTTTTCAAACAAGTAAATGATTATTTTAAAAGGGTATTATTAAAAAAACGTTTAATTAAATAAAAAAAATAACATTCACTACTATGAAAAGAGTAAAGAAGAGAATATGATTAAGTTCATTTCAAAAAAAGGTAAAGAGAAGGTATTAAAATAATAAAATAAAAAGTGTTATTTAAAAAGGAATTAAATTAGTTGACAAAAACTTAATTCAATAAATACCTGATGAATTTGAATATTTTATATGAAAGAAAATGATAATTAAAAAAGAAGATTAACACAAAATGCATTTAAATTTGTTTTCAGAATTAATCAGTCTTTGGTTTAGCAAATACAGCTGGACCAATACTTTGAACAGCTAACATGAAGTGCATCACAAACCAAAGAAGAACTAAAAGAATGAATACAACAAAAAGAATAGAAAGAGTAGCTGTATTATACCAAGTAGCTGAAGTGATAGTATCTTTTTCAACTAAGTGAAGAGAGCCATAGAAAGCGACATTAGTATATTGAGAAGTTTGATTAAAATAATTTTTAATAATTTGATCATTTAATTTTAAACGATCAAATGAGCCAACATTTCTAAATGCAATAACAACAAGAGCAGATTTACTAATAGAAGTAAAATCATCTTGATTAAGTATTTTAACTGTAGCATAATTTTGAGCAAAATTAAATAATGAAGTATCAGTTAAAGTAGCAGAGTCAGTATAAAGATAAACGTTTCTATTATGAATTTTATTATTTGTAATAGTTAATTCTAAATTACTTAAAACATCAACAAAAGAAATTTTAGTAGTTTCAGCTTCAAATGAAGAAAGAGAATTTAAAGTATAATTCTAATTTAAATAAGAAACAATATATTTATAAAAATTAAAGAATAAAATACAACAAACTCTAAGTGTAGTATAACCATTATATTTAGTAAATTCTTCAAAATCAAATGTGTTAATATTATAATCTATGAAGAGTACAACGTGATCAACATTACTTTCAATACTTTTTTGAATATCTAAATTTAATGTTTTTAAATCTAATGTTTTATTTGCTCCAGTATGTGAAAATGTAAAACTATTGGAAAATCCAATAACAGGAGCTACTTGTGGCTCTTTAGCAACAACAAAAACAATGAAGAGGGTAATAAATAAAGTCATCTAAATTATTTAAATAAAAGTTCTTTTTTGTTTTTTCAATTTTTGGTTGGTTTTTGTGCTTTTAAATTATTTTTTTTTTTTAATTTGTAAATGTTTTATGTAATTTTAATTTATTTAAAATTCTTTTTTTCTTATAAAAAATAATAAATTTATAATATAATTATTCATTTAATTCTTTTAATTTGTGTTGTTTAAAGTACTTCTTTTTAGTTTAACCAAAGAATTAATAAAGAAATAAGAGAAAAAGAAAGTTAAACCATTCTAACAAATTTTGGAACTAATGAAAATTTGAAGAAATTAGATGAGTATTGTTGTAATGAAGTCATACGTAATCGTGCAGGTTTATTAAACACTAAATTGTTATTTTATTATTTGTTATTAATATCAAAATAATATAACAAACAAAGTAGTTCTACAATATCTTGAATAAATACTTCGTTTAATGAAAAATAATTTGTTTGATCAAGATCATCTACATCTATAATATCTAATTTTTCATAAGAAGAATTTAAATGTGAAGAACGTTTTACTTTTAATATAAATTCTAATAAATGAATTGAAGAAAGAGAAGAAGTTAAAGAATATATTGTTGTTCTTTTACAAAGAGTAAATAATGAAGTCCAATCTTTCTTATAATGAGAATAATTTATTGTTGGAATATCCATTGGGTTAATAATAATTAAATTATCAATATGAATAGAATCATTAATTAATGTACTCCATAATGAATATGATTTAAAAAGGAATAATAATGTATCAGATG